GGGCGGCAGCCACTGCCCGCCCGCGATGCGCTGGGGCCCGCGGCACGATGACGAACGGCTCTGCCGTTTCCCCTCCGTATGTGCAAGGGTCGTCCCAGCCACACCTCTGCCTCCCAAGCACTCTACAGCTACCTCTTCTTTCTGCAAGACTCGCTTCCAGGCAAACAGCAGCATCCTACCCTCCCAGGGTAGCTGGGATACAGGAGGGGGATACAGGAGGTGCGGAAGATGAAGCATCAGTCCCTGATTTTTTCAATGCTCTGACTCATCTCTTGGACCTGAGATCAGCCCACACCGGCACACGGGCATTTACCTTCCTGAGTACAAGCTCTCCGTTCATGTGCATAGCCAGGTTGCCGAAATGCAGCAGCATCTGGTCGGTGGGCAGCTGTTGTTCAATGACATCATCCCCATAAATCACCACGATGGCCACACAGATGAAGAGGTGGAAATAGTCAGTCTGCAACGAGAAAACAGTGGCTGGAGTACAGCAGGCGGAGGCAGAGGTCTGGCTTAACCTCCCCACCCGCCACAAGCACGTCCTTAGCAGAGAGTTTGTGCTCCTTCCAGTTTTGCCTAGTGATACCTCAGAAAGTGAGTTATCGGTGAATTCTGAATCACAGCTGAGTCAAAGTCTCTTGCCTTTACAGCACGGCAGCAAGGTTTGGACCACAGCTTTCAAGGCAGACTAGTGATTTTTGGGAAGACATTTTCCAGCTGTGTAAGAGAAGTCTGAACTTCAGAAGTGGATGTTCAGCACTTTCTGAAAAACCTCCTTCTGAAGCCTGGACATCCTCAAGCAGGAGGGGCAAGTGTCCGTCCTCCTGCTACACAGATAAACCCCTCTGGTAGTTACAGACCCTCTCTGACACCTGCTTATTTGGGTTACTGTGCTGCTAAAAGCCTTTAAGGAAACGCTGCAACACTCGCTGAGACGGTGAGGATTCGGCAAAGGACACGCTGCTGCCCGTGCGCGCTGTGCCCATCTCCAGATGTCTAACCTGGTAGTGAGCCCAGCACGCTTCCCACATGCGCAAAGCCTCAGCATCTGGAAATTCACGTTTAAAACAGAGGAGGATCCAGCGGTGACAGAAAAGCATCTGCAGGCCATCCTCTCCCAAGGAAGAAAGGTGCTGGTAGAAGCGTGGGTGCATGAGCCGCAGCAGCTCTCGCAGGTACATCTGGAAAAGACGCTCTCGGCTGAGCCCCCGCCTCGTGCGCAAGGACTCGCGCCACCCCGGGGAGCCCCCGCACCGCGTGCCAGACCTGGGCTCCCGCGGAGCTGGCCACAGTTCTCTTCTCTGGCAAAAGGCTCCAGCTTTACGGCCCGTTTATTACAGCACAGCCAGGAGCACGCTTGGATCTACCGTTAACGGCCAGAGCTCACGGGCCACGGCAGCTACTTCTCAAGGAAGGACAGAGCGTGAAAAGAAAACCCCACGACAGCTATGATGTTGTGAAAAGAAAGAAGGGGAGAGATTCAGGCTGAGGAAAGCGGCTAGAGCCTTAAAAACTAGAGAAAAGAAAGGACATCGCTATCTCTGGCAATATTTCATTTCAGTAGAGGCCGAGCAATATGGAAGTGATTTTGGAAAGCCTGACTGTGCAGGCACATTACAGGGCATAAATCTGTACATTAACTAACTGCACCTCACCAGAGGGGCTTCCACCACAAGTTTACCACTTTAAGTTGGTGCCATCATGACCTGGACAGGGTTGTTCAGGTTTAGAATGGATTTTTCAGGATCTTAACCAGAAAAAAACTGACATTCATGTTAAAACCTAAACAGTTTCCATTTTTAAACAAGTTCACCTTATTTTAAGGAAGTCGGCCAGATATATAAGGCTTTTAATTTGGAGATAATTTAAAAAATCTATTAAAAATATGAAAACCCTAAAAAAAACCACAAAGAAGAGGGCTGCAGCTCGATCAACTCCTCTGCCTCATTCACACCAAACGGCCCAGAATCAGGACAAAAATGAACCACTGAGCCTTCACTGCCTGACAGAAGTGCAAAGCCAAAGCAAGCAGCATCCCAAATACATTTGATCATAAAAGATTCCTTGAATCAGCCCCCTTTAGCACAGCCAAGGTAACTTTACTCTGACAATTTACTGGCTCTAACTGCCTCCGGAGTGCCCAAATCACCCAGGTTCAATTTTATCCATCAGGAGTGATTCGGCACGCTGGAACCCCACGGCCCAGGTAACTGCTTTATGGCATTCTTCTAATTTGACTGGGGAGAGGGGGAGCTAAAGACAGGGCCAAAGGGAGCTCAGCATCCAGCCTCACCAGCTGCTTCTCCATATCCTCATCCCGGGGTGAGCTGATGAAGATCGTGTTCTGCATCAGTCCTACAAAGCACCAGAAAGTATCCGACTCATCTAGGATCTCTGCCAGGAGTGGGGCAACCAGGTCGGACATCCCCTGGGAGTATCCGATTGTTGGGTTAAATACTGCATAGTTCAGCAAGATCCTCCTGGAGAAGAGACGCAAATGCCGAGGTGAGACACAGAGAGGCCGCGGCACAGCGGAGCGCGTCACCTTTCCCTTCTACCCCGCCTCCCGCCACACAGGCTGCGTCAGGCAAAGCGCAGAGGAGCAACAGATCGCTCCTGCCATCCAAAAGATTAACTTGCAACTGCACCCGGAGGCTTGCGAGCCTTTGAGCACCTGTGCAGCACGTCGCATCCCACAGAATCGCTTTCCCTGAAAGAACTGTATCTAGAAGCATAACAAAGATACGCTAACACTATCCCTAACTGGCATTTTTTAGGATTACAGTATTTTGCATTGATCCAGAGCGGCTCCTGGATGGGCAACGAGAACTCTGAGTAGCACACAGCAGCCTAGGGCAACGGATTTGAACAGAACTCCTTAGGCTCCTGTTTTCCAACCGCAGTACAGCCCACTGGGAGCAGTGCAGTAGGAACGACCAACACAGTTCATCTCCGGTACGAAGACACACGACCCCACTGTAAGGTGCTTTAACACATACAGATAAACCCTGCTGCAAACATCAGTCCAGTGAAATAAACTCCAGAAGGTTTTGCATACACAGAGACCAAAATATAAACAGAAAATGAGAATTTAAGAAGACTGAGAGGACAGAAGTGAAGGGCCCACGGGAAAGGAGAGATGATGCCTACACACCCATGAGGCTCCAAGCTGTGCTGTTAGAGGAAAGCCAGCTTCTGCAGGCACACGTTTACAAGTCACCCATGAAGCAGACGCTGGTGTGCTCATCCTCCAGCCCGCCGGGAGAGCCACAGACCCAAGCAGCTGCCGACGGCCCTGCTGTAGCACCCATGACCCTCCCGTAGCCACAGAAGGCTCACACCTCTCGTATGCCTACGTATGCAGGGAAGCTAGGTGATGGGAGCAGCGTTACTACGTCAAGAAGCAAATGGCTAAAGCAGCAGCGGAAGCACTGGGGAAGAGGTGCTTGCTTCTGCACCACTTGGTACCAGTCACCACATGCAGGGTGCTCTTCAGCACTCCCAAGGCAGTGGCCTAGGCAGCCGGGGCCGGGGGTGCTTGCTGAGTTCTCTATACGTTCAGTAGGACGCGTTGTTTGGGACACTTCACCTCATAGTTTCCACATTTGGGTTGTCCTCCCCTCGAAAGAACTGGTTGCTGCGGTCAGTCCTCACGACGTCTTTATCTACCGTGAACTGCACTTTACGCCAAAAATCCTTCTGTTCATCTGGAGTCATTGAAAGCCTGAAAATTGAGCAGCAACAGGAGTACGTTATCATATGCCTGAGAGAGGAATATGATTGCCACAAAGATCAGAAAGTCTTATTTCTGTTTTCAGAGAAAAACTATTTCTATACAGAGTTTTCTCATCACCTGAAAAACAGACAAGCAGGTCTGTCCAGAACAGCAGTTCTTCTGTCCAAACGGATTACTAGAAGGAGCCTCCTGGGTTATAAATGGGGTGACAGGACGTGTTTTCTGCGCTAAACTCCACTTCAGAAGCAGTCGGACTCTGCTCTCCACTGCTCCTCGTGGGTGGCACACCAGAACTCACCTCTCTGTTTTGACTGCTAAGCAATAATAGTACTGTCCCTCTCCAGCTTAAATGTACCCACAACTAGTTTACAACGTACAGTTCTTGTGGTAATAACTTCCTTGAGTTAGATATCCGTTCTTCTTCCCTATTTTTACATCCAGACCTGTTTATAAAGAAATATAATATCCCATTTTCACCTTCAGTGTTCTCAACCAAGCACGCTAAGCTTGCAGTCTCGCCTGTGAGATAAGCTTCTCTGCGTGGTACCGACGAGCCTGTTTCAAGACCCCAAGTAAGATAATATTTGAGCTATACGGTATCAGCTCCAGACTCTCAAGAGGTCAGCTGTGCCTGTACACCTCCTTTACCACTCCTCTCCCTCCTCCACTCCAACCGGCTTCTCCTGGAGCAGAGGGGCAGAGGCTGCGTCCGCACGTCACCAGCGGTACTGCTGCGATGTCAGGCCTGAGGAGGGATGAGCAGGAGAGGGTGAAGCTGGTCTGTTACCTTTTCTCCTGGATCTCAGAGTACTCCTTCCTCTTCTGCAGTCTCAGGGCCTCTCTCTCTTCGGAGGTGGACTCGTAGCTGTAGTAGCGCAGCAGAAAGGGCCACACCTCCCCACGGATGGAAATATCGATCCCACCAAAGAAAATGGCCTGGAAGAAGGAGCAGAAGTTATGACTGGTTTTTTCCCCCCCAAACCCAGCCACAAGAAACTGCCCGCTGCCGAGCCGTGGTGGCTTTGCAGTTCTTTCCTGACAAGTGACGCCTTGATTCAAGCTCCTGCAATTTGCACATGTTTAGAGGGAAAGTGCTAGCCTTCTATTCCCAGACGAGACACAAATCGGGCTCATTTCAATGTCAATAACCCCCCCTGGAGAGGCTCTATGATTAACGTGTCGTTCTCATGTCACGGCTTAATCCCCGATCTTGGAGACGCTGCATTTCACTGCAAACTTCTCTCTCAGGACCCGGACCCAGTGCTCCCCCGCAAGCCCTGCATTGTTTCACCCAGTAATCTCACATTTTCTTTCTTTGATTCGTTCACACTGCATTTTGCAAACACGACTAGCACCGGACACTTCGGTTTACTGATTCCACCG